CTCCGCGCTCGGGGGGGCCCGGTGCCCTCCGGCCCGCGGCTGGGGGAGCGGGCGCTGCGTGTGGGGAATGGCGGCCTGCGCTCGGCATTCGCGAGTGCCCAGCTCCGGCGGCCGCCGAGCGGGGCCTGGGACGCTTCTCTGTCTGTCTTGTCCGTCCGTGTGTCCGTGTGGCAGCTCCTGCCCTTGGCGGTCCGTTGGGTTCGTCCCCCCAGAGCCCCTCCGGTCCCCAGAGTTTTATGGTGCCGAGTTCTGCGGAGACCCGGGTCAGTAGATGTGCTTAGGCTGTATCCGGGGAACAGCGGTATGAGAAGGCCTCGGAAAAAACACCAAACCACCCGTCATTTATTATTTATTCAGAGCATGCAGTCAAGGAATTAGAATAATAGAATTATAGATCATACTGAGGTCATTAGTCGTGTAAAATTCAGAAGCAGAGACCTGATTTCACTTGAGAGGGCTTCAATCCATACTTGCCCCTCCCCAGAAGGGGAATTTATGGGCTGTGACTAATTTGGCAGCTGGGGTTCCTATGAACACAACAGCGTGTTGTGCATTCATCCTTCAGGTTCCTCTGGAAGAAATCCTCCATCAGGTGGGTCTGAGGTAGTCTGTAGCCTCTGAGTCTGTGTTGTTTGCTGAAAAGGGAATTATGTCTCTGGAATGTCAGTTTGTTCTTAGCAGAACTCTAGGACTGGATTTTAAGTTTGAGAGACATGCAAGTTTGGTGTAACATTTGACTGCCTGAAAGTTGCAGAATCCTAGAATCACAGAGTGGTTTGGGTTGGAAACTCATCTTATTCCAACCCTCTGCCATGCACAGGACACATTTTACCATCTCTGTCCAATCTGGCCTTGGACACTTCCAGGGATGGGGCAGCCACAGACCCCATTCCATTGTTGCAGTGGTATTCAGATGCTTGTTATACCATAACTTCTTATATTCACTAGGATATTTATGTACTCTGAGTATTAAGATGGATTTATTGGTTACAAATTCATTGTTTTCCAGCTGAATTTCAGTGGTGATTGAGTCCCAGAGGATTGCTGAAAAATGGGAACCTAAAGGGAACTGTCAGGAATATTGGTATAACCCACATGCAGGATTGGGTTAAGCAATATCTGGTTTTGTGGTTAAATGATGCTTTTGAGCAAAAAGTGGGGAATATTAGCATGAAATTTTAAGTCAGTTACAGACAGGGAAGTTCTGTGTGAGGGTTCTTACAGGGATCTTGCTTTGAGTAGATATCTGAATTTTCAACAAGAAATTGTTTGGAAAGAAATGGAAGAAACTGGAGCAGGGGTGCACAAACCAATTCAATGTGAAATTATGTGTCACATTTTGTCAGATAAGGACATAATAAGGACTGTTAGATGAGGAGTACCGTCATAGCTAGGAGTAGTCAAAATCCTTGAGTCTTGTCATCAGAATTAGAATCACAGAATGGTTTGGGTTGGAAGGTACCTTAAAGGTCGTCTTGTTCCAACTCCCTGCTATGGGCAGGGACACTTTCCACGAGACCAGGTTGCTCAGAGCCCCATCCAACCTGGCCTTGAGCCTTTCCATGGATGGGGCAGCCACAGCTTCTCTGGACCTGTTCCAGGGCCTCAGCCCCCTCATTGTGTATAATCTCTTCCTAATATCTAATCTAGTCCTGCCTTCTGTCATTTTGAAGCCATTCTCTCTGTCCTGTCACTGCATGCTTTTGTAAAATATATCTTAGAGAGTATATAAATACATAAGGAATGTTTTAGACATTCATTCTTAAAACTGAGTTATGACTTTGGCAACTTCTGCTCAACAGATACCACGTTGCCTCAGAAGAGAGGACAGATATCCTCCAGAACAGCCATGAGCAGTTACTGTCAAGTCCTGGGAATTTTCTTACTCTTTCTTCAAAGTGCGCTGTCTCTCCAGCCAGCGCAGCCCAGAGTGCTGCTGGTGTCTTTTGATGGGTTTCGGTGGGATTACATCTACAGAGTGTCCACTCCCAATTTTCACTATGCCATGAAGAACGGGGTGCACGTCAAGCAGGTCACCAATGTGTTCATAACGAAGACGTACCCCAACCACTACACCCTGGTGACTGGGCTCTATGCAGAGAGCCACGGCATCGTCGCTAACGAGATGTATGACCCTGTCCTGAACGAAACCTTCTCCCTGAACAAAATGAACACCCACAATTCCAAGTTCTGGGAAGAGGCCAGCCCAATATGGGTGACGAACCAGAGGGAAGGACACAGATCTGGTGCCGCTATGTGGCCTGGAACAGATGTGAAGATACATGGAGTCTTGCCTACACATTACATGCCCTACAATGAATCTGTTCCCTTTGAAGACAGGGTAGCAAAGCTCATTGACTGGTTTACAGCAGAAGAACCCATAAACTTTGGTCTCCTGTACTGGGAACAGCCTGATGAGATGGGACACCTTCTGGGCCCAGAAAACCCACTTATGGGAACAGTAATCAGTGACATTGACAGAAAACTGGGATATCTCATTTCTGAACTGAAGAAAGCGAAGCTGTGGGATGCAATAAATGTCATAGTCACAAGTGATCACGGAATGTCACAGTCGTCCTCAGAAAGGCTCATTGAGCTTGATCAGTACGTGAGCAGAGAGCTCTATGAAGTCATCGACCACACTCCTACAGTAGCCATTTTGCCAAAAGAAGGTAGGAGCTACAGCAGTAATGTTCCCTGAGGAGATACTTGAGTATCCAAACTTTATAGACCGAATTGGTGGTAGCAGCACTGATGGCAGTAGGCCATCAGCCTTGAACAAGGAGTACTTGCAAGATCCCTTTGTTCTTTTTTCGGGCTCTGTCAAAAGCCTGGATTAACTTCCAGAAAAGAAAAGAGAGCAAATCTGTTTGCTTCTGACTAATATTGCCAAGGATCCTTTAGTCCTTTTGAGAAGTAAGATAATCTAATGGCATTATCAAGGCTGAATGGTTCTCAAGATAGATAACACCTGAATGTTACATATCTTGCCTTTCATCAAGATGATGAAGCCATAGTGGAAGAATTATTTTTCTAACTCAAACAGTAAACTGAGAACAGATGGGGATCTTTGATAAAAAGAAAGCCTGTGTTGGCTATTTGATTAGCTGCCAGCTATTGTAGTTCACTTGCGGTTTTTCCCCTGTCATGCTGAACAGCCAGCCAGTTACATTCATACCATTTTTATTGTGATAAATATGGGCAAGAATAGTGTTAGAATTGAAATCTGAAATCTGGTTGCAGTCACCAAAGGGTTGCTGAGGTGACAGGTGTATGTTTAGTGTCACTAATGCATCTGCTTTTTATTTTCATCATCAAGTACTGTAAAGTACTTGGTGCAAAAGTGTTAACTTGGAAAATAACACCCCTGCCCACACACAAAGAAAGAAAAAAAAAAGCTAATTTAGAAGCTGAATTTTAAGGTGGCCTTCTGGAAAGGTGTTTTTTAAGAATTCTGTAACATTTGTATCACTAATGGATAGATACCACTTTGTATTTAATGCCCAGGCAGGGAGAGTGTTTTGCAGAATTAAGTGACCTTTAAGTGTAAGAACAAATGTGACTTGTCATTTTTAATTTGAAGAATACTCCAGACTAAAATGTGAGTATGCCCGAACTGGATGGTCTCTGCTGCCTGAGCAGTCAGGCCCTGTAGGTGGGTGCTGTTTCTCTCTGTGCTTATAAAAGAGCCACATTTGGGAGCTTCATCCCCATAGAGGCAAACAGGTTGCCCAAGATGTTCTCATTAGCAAATAAAGAAGCTGTAAAAGTAAAAAAGCACTGTAAAAGCACTACAAAAAAAAAGCACTACAAAAAAAGCACTACAGTGCTGAAACCTCCCTAATGCAGTGAAGAACTTTAAGATGCGTAACTTGATTCTCCTGTCTGCTAAATGCTGATAAGAAACAGTATCTCTGCTACAATTAGATGACAAAATAGTAAAAAAGCCATTTCAGTGGATTTCAGAAACAGCTTGGGTTTGATTTTTGCCCAGAGATTCAGGTATTTATTACAGTACCAGTAAACAAGAATTAGTTTTGAGCACTGCTAAAATTCTTTCCTTCAGTGGTACCAGATGTGATTTTTATTATAAAGCAATGAGTTTCACTGTCAGTTCAGGTATGAGCTAATATATGCTTAAGTGTATTGCTTCCCCAAGAGGTGGATTAAAGCTGTTATTTAACCATGCTGCTATATTAGCGTGTGTGGGGAACTAGTTAGATGTTCACAAAGAAGATACTTGTACCACAGCTGGTGATGCTGACCGTTTTCTTGCATTTAATATAAATATATTAATTCTCATAATTAATATAAAATCAAGTTTGCTATATTTGGGGCTTGTCCTCCCTGCCATCCCACATAGAATCTGACATAGCATAATTAACTTTATTACTAATATAGTCCTAGAAATGCTGTATTAGAGTCCCTCATCTTGTTGCTGTAACTATCTCTGATACCTTTACTTTTGCTGTTTCATCTTGACCTTTGTTTTGTTTCTTAATTTAGTGATTCAATTTTTTTTGTGCCAGTTTGAGATAAGGAACATTAATGTTTCCTTCAGAATGTATACATTAAAGTATTTTTCTTCAGAATTTCTATACTGGAGTCTAGGAACTGAGGGGGAAAAGCAAGATGGTTTCTTTAGAAACATTGGCCACTTTCTCCCAGTTTTTTCTCACTGATTCAACACTCCATGGATACTGGAAATGGCAGTCTGAGAGGGGCCTGCAGACACACTGTGCATTCAGCTTCATGTGCCACACAAATACTTACCTAAGTCACCATGCTCAGGGATTTGGTGTGTCACTGGAGTCTGTTGTGTGCACTCCATGGCTCTCAACAGGAGTCTGGCCTTAAGTGGAGGTGGGGAATGAAGAAATTTGGTCAGATGTCAATTCCTGAACTTGCTTTTGTGCCCCTGGCTGTCTGTTCTGGTTCCTCCATTCTGTCCACTGGTGTTCCAGCCAGTTTGATGAACTGCTGGTGGCTCTTCAGTGGCTTTCACTGGAAAGGCAAGCTCAGAAATTGGACATAAGCAAATAAAGAATTGGGAGTGGAAAATACCTATTTATTCAGTGTTAGTAGAGCTCTTGAGGGTTTGTGCTCACTGTGACTAGGGAAGGGAAAGGGAGCAAAAAAATATGGAAAAATACAGAGGAGCAGGCTCATGCTGTTGGCTGCTATTGACGAATAAAGGAAAGAACAAACTGCTTTAAAATACATGAAAAGTGTCACTTGTCACAGACAGCTAGGTGACAGAATTTGGCCTGAATGCAGCCATTACCTCACAGACACATTTAGGAGCTGTCTTCTTGCTTTCAGGCTTTACATAGAGCTGGGAGGCTTTGGTTCATTTTCCAGGAGACAACTGAGTGCTTTCTAACTCATTCCTGTGAGAAGTTTACATTCTGATAAGTGTGAAATGAGGGATTTTTTTCTAAAATTAGCAAGGTAGTTATTGCTTGGGAACAGGCTGTGAAGTCTGGTGCTGAGGGGGATCTTAAAGTGCCTGAAGGTTTGGATTTTTCACAAGAGCTTCTGTGCACACACTGTTGTCTCTTACAGTTATAACTCGCTTCTGGGGAAGTGTATTTTGCCCTCTTCCTTCAGCTGTATTTTAACTACTGATGAGTTCAGTAAACACACTGGTATGTTTAATTTTTGTCTTTTGTCTCTTTTGTTTGTTTGAAGGCAAACTGGATGAAGTATATGAAGCTTTGGCCAACGCTCATCCCAACATGACTGTATATAAAAAGGAGCAGATTCCAGATAGATTTCATTACAAGCACAACAGTAAAATTCAGCCTATCTTAGCAGTGGCTGATAAAGGATGGGAAATTGTACATAACAAGACTGAAGGTTTCCTAAGTAAGTATTCTGTCTTTATAACATTTTGCTGTATCTTCCAAGCCAGGGACCATACATGGTACTTTCTCTCCTAGTATCAACAACCAATGTTCATTTTTAATTTCTTTTAAGGCTGGAAGGGAAAGCTTAAGCGTGTGAAATTTATATTTTTTTCCCCTGATGGGATGGGAAACACCCTACTGTTAAGGGAGGAAGATTTGCACTTACAGTTTCTTTAAACATTAACCTGAGATAAGAAAAATCACGTGTTTTAGTGGCCCCATGCTTGAGGTCTTTCAGGATGTAGCAAACCAACAAGCACTTCCTGAGACATTAAAAAAGAAAGTTGTAACTGAATGTGTTGAGTAGAGGGTGAAGAGGGTTGTTTTACTATGTTTTACTTATTTACTGGAGAAGGGTTGGGTTAGAAAATACAAGAACGTTTTCTGAAAGTTCTCAGCTTGTGTGGGTGCTACACTGACAGGAACCTCATTCTATGCTACAAAGCCTTTGGATATTGTGTTACTGCACACCAGTGATTTTCATTTGCCTTGGAGGAAAAAATGTGTTGTAGGTGATTTGAAGGAATGAAACTCCCAACACTTTCAAGTTCCTCACCTTGTAGTTTTGAGATTTATTACAGGTAACATGGAGACAGTGAACTGTAACTTCTTGGTAACCTAAAACACAGGTGTCATATGGTCAATTCTTACATTTCTAAAGGAGAACCTTTGGAACTTTGCTGCTGGTTATGAATCTGACGAGTGTTACCAGCAAGACTTAATAACATTTTCAGTAGCTGCTGAGAGCACCTTCTTGTGCCTGTGTGTTTGACACATTCCCAGGTTTCAATGCCCCTGCCAGCAATGGGCACTGGGCACCCACTAGTTCTTCTTCCTTGTTGAGGAGTTGATGGTGCATGAAATTGTCAGTGTCTCTTTGGAATCACACCAACAGTCTGACTCTACATGTTTTTATTTAATTTTCCCTAAGAGTTCTGGATCAGTTGCAAAGTTGGAGCTTTTCCTTGAGAAAAATCAAGGAATTTTGTGTGTACACAGTGGGCCATTGATAATGCTGTTAATGCCATATGAGCTCACTTTTTTTTCCCCCTCTTTGTAAATAATGCTCTCCATTGTGGGTTTTTTAGGTGTTTACCCTTTGTAGTTCTGAGACTTGCTATGTGCTAGGAGAAATTTGTGCTGCCAATCAAAACAGTTCTGCTAAACCTCTATAAGAATGGCTGTGCCTTTTCTGCATTCTGCTAATTTTAGGAAAACGTTCAATGCTTGTTTTGCAACTTTGGGATGTTGACCTTTATCTATCTTTTATTTCTAGTTGGCAATCATGGATATGACAACACTGAACCAGAAATGCATCCCATTTTTTTGGCAGTTGGGCCAGCTTTCAGAAAGAACACCACCAAACAATTCATGAATGCTACGGACTTGTACCCCTTACTGTGCCATCTGCTTGGCATCAGCCCACTGCCCAACAATGGTTCCTTCAATGCTGTGAAGGATATACTTGCTGAGAAAGTTCCTGGAGCCCGTGGTGCAGATTCCTACTCCACTGTTGTAGGAGTCTTCCTGGGCAGCCTGCTCGTTCTGGTTTTCACTGCAGTTTTTGTTAAGCATTTTGTCCTTGCCCAAGCAAATTCCATGCAAATCAGACACACTGAAGCTGCCCAGCCACTGCTGCAAGATTAATAACACCTGGGATTATTTCCTGTTTGAGGCTTAAAATAAGTCTATAAAAAGAAAATAAACAATGGAGGTGGATCAGCATGAGTATGTGGAGTGAAAGGAGATGGATGCTGATCCATTGGTACTCTGGGGCATGAACAGACCAGGGATGGAGAGAGAGCATATTCCTGTTTCACCCTGCAGCCACTTCATCTTCCAGGGCTTGAAGATATCCCAGGTAAATCTGGGAAGCTCTGTGTGTATATATATAGACCTGTAGTGACAATAGACCTCAAATACCTTATTATGGCTATTTTTAGGAAAATAACGTCAACTGGGTTGCACTTCACAGAGTATTAATGGTAATTTCATTTCCCACCCTCTTTTTTGTTTTATTCTTTGAGGATTTTTTTGAGTCTCTGATTTTAACAAGTCACTGAATGGTACTTAACTTCTTTGTTAGTATTTTTCTTCCCTGCCCAAGGAAGCTTTTGCATGGATCACCATTATGATTACTTGATGAAGGGTTAAATCCTTCAGGAAAGAACATTATTATTCAGCTAGGTCATGCAGTGCTAGGTGTCTAAATTTAGAGTTACATGTATTTCTTCAAATTCCTGTCTTAACTATAGACCCAAAATACATATCTTAAGTGGTATTGCCTTTAGCAATCAGCATTAAACTGCTTGATTCTTAATGTTTTAAAAATTAATTTAAGTAAATGTAGGTTTTTACCACTTTAGATACGATTTCAGATAAATGTAGGTCTTTACTTTTTCTCTTTCCTGTACACTGCACTAAATTTTCTAGGACTTCCATGCAGCTGGCAGGATAAAGACATGTACAAGCATCGCACCTGTACATCCAAATGGAGTTTTCTATTTCTGTGGTACTAAGGGAGGTCAATAAGTTAAGGAACAAGGATGCTCCAGCTGGTTTCAGTGTTGTTAGTCTTGTTCCTGCTCTGCTACTGAACATTCTGAGTTGGACTTGTGTCTTGTGCTTTGTCTGCTCTGTCTGGGTGGGTCTTGGAATGGGATGATCAGGATTACAGTTGCAGTTTAAGGGGCAGCTATATAAATCTTAAGCCATATGTGTTCTTAAATCTGAAAAAGCACATTTTAATAATTAAAGAAAAGATGTAGGACTGGAGTTTATTTTTCCAGAGAAAAACTTCTGTCAGGGAAAAATATTAATCCTGAATCAACAAAGGCACATATTCTTTTGCTTGTGGCAATAAACCTTGCTAGTGTAGTTGTGGGGTTTTTTGTGAGCTCACTTAAATGGTGAGAATCTGCTGACTAAAGTTTGTATGAAAATCATTCTGTAGTTGTTGAGAAAAGTTATCTAATGTCAGACTTCTCCCCTTCTCCCTGTGAGGTGATAGTATTTCTCAGCACTTCGTTGCTGAGTACAATGCCTGAAGGAGAAAGAAACTTTCAAAATTAGTAAAGTAGCAGATTAGGTATTTTTAAATGCAATTTATGTCTGTATCCACACCCCCCAGCAGAGGACAAGGATGTAGATGTGCTCTGCCTAATCAAGGGTGTGACTAACAGGCAGTACTGCAAGGTGAGGGCTGGGGTACAAAATTCCTTTTGCTGGGCTAAATTCCAGACTCAATGAAGATCTGTTGTGCTCCTCTGTGATGGCAGGGACACTCAATTGGCACCAAGCTGCCTTGCAGACAGATGTGGACATTTCCAGAGGCCACATTTGGGTGCAGCGAATGCTTCCAAGGGAAGGCAATGAAATAGCCCAACTTAAGGGTTATGATGAAAGTTCAGCTGTAACAGTAACTTTAGGAAAGCAGAAAAAATGCAAGTCTGAAAAAAAGACAGCCCTTGATTTGGGGAATGTGTATGAAATCCTGTCAACTCCAGATGACTCGGTGCTGTTACTGTGCTGTGAACTGCCTTGTTTTCCTGCATTGCCATTTTCTTAAGAAAAAACTGAAGGAAAAGGTCTGTAAGGCTGGTTCTTAGTGCAGCTAGCCATCAGCTGTGCCTAAAGTTGAATTTGCTGGCACAGGTAAAACTGAGTGCTGCAGAGGCTCCAGCTGAACCACACCAGTTCACAGCAGTTTTCAGAGACCTGAAGTCTGAGCACAAAACCCAAACCTCTGAGTTGTTACTAATCCCTTCCAAAAAGTGGATGGCACACAGCAAACAGATGCACTGAGTCCACCTTTTCTTGCTTATTTGCAGCTTAAAGATGAATTGTAGCACAAACAGACTGTGTGTTTAAAAGGAGATCTGCAGGCTTTGTTAAGGCAGTAACAGTGACAACAATGCCATAACCTTCACCTGTAGCTTCTGCACTTTGGAACATGTTGCTGTAGTAGAAATTCTTCTTATTGCAGTAATTTCATAGCAGTGGTCATGGCAGATGTAAAAATAACTGGGTTGTAATCTCAGAGCTTTTCCTTAAACCCCACTTTAATTGTGGCAAGCATAGTTCTATCATCAGCCAAAGTGACCCTTGATTTTAAGGAGGGGCCAGTTTGTGTTGATCAGTCATTTGGGACTTAGATTTACCTGCCCAAATAGGCAACAAGGATAGAGCAGTGGGTTTCCTCCAACAAAGGGTTTGGGAACAATAATACTCAGAATGGGCTGAGGACATGAATGTGAGAATTGTTGATGTCATTGTTCTGTATTGCACTGTGAGGCCCTTCTTTGAGGAGGGCTAAATAAAACTTTCTAAAAAATATTAAGGGAATCTTGTAGCATTTGGGTATTTCAGATTAGGGTCAAACATTTCATTTATTCTTAAGTGTATTTGCAGGTAGCTCTTGGGTAGTTCCTTTTTAGGACATTTGCCCAACGGTATTAAGTTAGCTTAATGGGAGTGAGCTTAATGAAACTGAAAGCACAGATGATGCCACTGGAGAAAAACAGCTATTTTTTCTCTGATGTGACATTTTGTCAGACACCTTTTTGGGTGGGGGGAACATGGGATTTGGTTTCTCTGTATATGAGACTTTCTATGATGTACAAACAAGTTTATTGGAAGGAGAATTTGAGTAGACTGTGTACTGCTTGTAATTTAAACTTGGAAACCAAGAATGATGTATGGTGTGTTTCATTACTGACCTGTGGAGCATTCAGATGTCAAATGTTTTCTTTGTTTCTTCTTGTTTGGAAATGCTGAAGTTAAAATACATCTTTGCTATAATGCTGTCAAGCATGGAGTGCTGGCTTCATTTAAAACACTTCAGGAAAACAAAGTTGAACTGGGGGGAGATTGTTGGGGGAGAATGTTTTCAACTTGTATGCATCCCAGACATTCTCTGGACTCTGCAAAGTGTATGCCTTTTTTAAAAATAACTGGAAGTGTGATAGAACTTTGGAATTTTAGGTCACAGTTCTTATATAACAGACTTCTTGATTCCCACCTTGCTGCCATATATGGAAGAAACAGCTATTGGTTACCAATAGTGGGAATCCAGTTTCTTTAACTAAAAAAAAAAATCTTCCAGACTTGGTCAAAAGCTGCAGTAATGCTGCTACAAGAAATGCACTCCCAAAAAAAAAACCCAAAAAAATCCCCAAAAAAACCCCAGAAAAATTAGATTCATTAAATCACTTAGGTTAGAAAAGATCTTTAAGATCATCCAGTCCAACCATTAACCCAAAATTGCCAAGCCTGTTGTAAGATGAAATGTTGTGCAAATTGACTTTTCATACAATCACAGAATAGTTTGGGTTGGAGGGGACCTTAGAGATCAGCTCATTTCAACACCCCTGGCCCCCCACCCCTGACCTCTATTAGAAATGTGAACAGGACAGTCTTGACCTGCATGTGGGAGAAGGACAAATGTTCAGTGGTTGGGTCCTGTTCTGTAAAATGGAAATTTAACAGGTTTACTTCCCAGTTTTCCTCCCTTCTTAAATAATGCCAAGGATGCTGTCTTGACCATATCTATGCTGCTTTACAAACCTTTGGTGGCATGTTTGCCCTACAGTAAAGGTGACATAAGCATTTATTAGATAGTAAACTACAAAAATTGCTGCAAGCACATGAAAATAATAAATTCAATAGTGGCATCAGCCTTTCCATAATGAAATCCTAATCTGAATCCTATTAACAAACCTCCATTAGTGCTTTTTTGCAGCAAAAGATGCTACCATGCATGTTAGAGCAAACATCTGTCCCTGTGGCCTGGTCCTTGGAGGTACACAAAGTTGGTTTATTTTCACAGGCAGTGTGCAGGCAGCAAGTTACTGAAAGCAGTGTTTCAGAGCTGTAGTCAGGTGAAATCATCTCAATTCTGGAACTGTTTCCATGATGCCAATGCCCAAAAAGCACGGGACCCTGGAGAGGTGGACATTCTAGCATTGCTGTACTCAGTGTGGAGGGTTCCTGTATGGAGGCAGTCAGTCTAACACCAGCCTTCAGTGCTGGGAAGTGTCACTAAATATCCCCTATTCCTCTCTAAACTGCAGGAGCCTTTCCCTGAATTAACCTGCCCTGTGTGACCTTTGCTGAGTTGTGTCTATTTAGCATGTCATTAAATGTTGCCACAAACTACTGTCCCTTTATTGCAGCCTTGAGAAAGAACAAGCCACAGCTTTGCTGTTCTTGTTCTGAACTGGCTGCCCAAAAGGAAATCAGCTACTGGCTTTCATGAGAATTACTTCACACAAACCAGAATGAGGCAGTGGAAATGTTTTGTCATGTTTGAGGCTCTATTTTTAAAAAATAATCATCCTTAAATAAATCAACTGCATGTCTTAAAGACAGAAAGATGTCTTTTCTAGATTCTGTTGATTAGTACATGATCTGTATGAAACTGGATGTACAAGAGCTACTGTGAAACCTTTTGTGCCAGGAAGAACTCTCAGCACCCTTACAGACCACACCACATCTTTGGAAAAGAAAATAATCAGCAGTGCAACTGGAATATAATTTATCTTACTTGAACACCTATATTCCCTCTTTAAACCCTTTCCACAGTGGCACTCTCCCATCTTCATGCTAAAGGGAGGAGGAACAGAGGGTGATAAGGATTTCCACCAGACACAGCCACTTGCTGATTTCACAGCAGCTCAACCTGTAGCAGTTCTCATCAGAAGGGGCTGCCTAGAGCTTGGAGGAGAAATGCATTTAGACCTTGACTTCCCCAGCTGTAGCAATATTGCTGTTTCAGATCAGAGTTCTGCTATCGTGGTTCAATCAGCATTTACAGTTCTGGTCACCAAAGCCTTGCTGGTACCTTTGCTGCCTGCCTGGGAGGGGATTCACAGAGGAACTGAGAGCACATCGACCACACGCTGTGTGACAGCTGCTGGGGGGAAGGAACAGAGTGGAGAAAATCAGTTTTAGCTTCTAGAAAAAAACCCCAAAATTCACAGGTAAAAGACATGATGTCTGCCAGAAAGGTAAACTCAGTCAAGCCTTTCCAAACAAAGATGATGCAAATCATCTCCAGTAATTCTCTTACTGACCCTCTGAGGATCCCACTCTGCATTACCAGAATTACAAGAACCTAACAAAACTCTAACACAGGAATTCAAGCATCCTCCTTTTTACAGCATATCTAAACCTAGGTTCTACCCTGAAACACATTCTCTTTGTAGTTACTCATTAACCTGACGTCTTGGTGTATGTAATAATTAATTTAAATATGGCAGGATGAGGAAGTGACTCCATGTTCAGTCCAGCTACTGCTCTAGAATATCAACAGGCTAAAATCCAGTACCCTAGCAGTAGCAGCACAGATTTTTCAAAGGGCCTGAGCCTCTTTCAATTAATCTGAACTCTTTCAAGTTCAGATTAATTCAGAATAAATCCTTAGTAAGTAATAGTTAGTAGTGTAAAAAAAAAAAAGCAGAACTGGTTAGGTTTTGGATTGTGTTTTTAATCAAGTATAATGGAATCTCTTGAGAGGAAGACACATTACTGAAACTTCCATACATTTATAAAGGTCAAATTTGTTTTTTCCAGTGGGCAGTTCAAAGTAACCCCTTCCCTCCAAAGTTCCTGCTCCCTCCATATCAGATCATTAAAAGGCTGTGGCCAACACCAAATTGCAATGAATTTAAAGTTGTGAAAGAGAAACCCCATTGATGCCAGGTACCTCTGTCGCTTTATTTTTTAAAACCATCAGAAAAGGACTTGGTAACTGTAGTTCTCTTTTTGGGTTAGCAATAACAATTTAATCTCACTGAAAGACAAGGTACCATTTAAAGCTTTCTCAATCAAATTATTTTTTTAATAGCAAGTTACTAGATGACCATTAACAAAGAATTAAGAGTTTCAATTAAGAGAACAGTTAGCTCTGGTCTTCATCAGGAATTTCCATTTATGTACCTCAAGCATTATAATTTGTTTTTTGTAATAAGATCTGCTAACTTCTTCCTTTAAATTTCCAGGGTTTAAAATATGAGTTTGGAATCCTTGCTTGATGACTTGCACATCGAACTTTGAATTGTTGCTTTTTAGCACAACAGCCTTCAAGAGACAATTATGAGCTGGTACACAGGGCAGAAACACCTTTATCTCAAAAACACCTTCAGCAGAATTTACTCCTGAGAAATTTTCCACAGGGTTTAGGAGCAGTGATTTTACACCTACAACTGATGAAACTGGGTAATTCAGACTCCCAGGTTAAGTTGACTTTCTAGAGATAAGGTAGTAGTGCCATCCCAGCTGGACCTGTGGATCTAAGTCATCCAGAGACACATATCCAGAAATGTCAGAGCCACCTGCCCAAGCTTCTAAGTGCTGAACCACATAATTTATTGCTTAAAATAGAAGAGATATGCACCAGTTCCTTCACCACTGACTTCTGTTTCCTTTCTCAGAAATTTGTCACATTGCTGCCTTAGGGTAGAAACAAAAGTTTTGGATCTTCTCTTTCCCCAAATTTAAGGGCACACCAGAATATACTCTCAAACCAAAACTAACTCCTAGCTCTCAATGAAGTTTTTCTGTCCAACACAGGTGCAACAACACTAAAAGTAGTCAATATTAATTTAGTACAAAAAAAGCAATTATCATTTACAAATATTAAAATTCACTTTGTCTATCCTGGCTACTCATACTCTGGAGTCTCATTCTGAAAGTGTTCAGAGGCTTGAATGAAAAACTAAGCATCCTTATTTTGTTAAGCATCTCTTCCAGTAAAAAGCCACCTGTTCACTGTTTGGTTATGAAAATATCTTTATATGACACTAGTCACACAAATCAGCAGGGTCTAGCTGTACAGTATTTTACACAGATAAAGTGCATCAAACAAAGAATGCCATCCAGTGCAAATTGAAACTATTTTCCTGAAATCACAATGTAGGAAGCGAGGCTCAGCTCCCTCCGCGCTATCCAATCAAAGGATCATCGTCATCACTCTGTAACTGGAGCCGGGCAAAGGGCCGGGAAGGAGCCACTCTGTTCTTGGAGATGATGATGATGCAGGTGAAAGTGCTGAGAACCATGAAAACCCCGATGACGATCCCAATGGCCTCAGGAACACTGATGCACCACTGGTCAGCCAGCAGGCACTTGGTGTTGGCGAAGGTGCCGTTGTGCGGCCGCGGGGCGAGCCTCAGGACGTGGCACATCATGGGGTAGATGTCCACGATGTCCAGGCTGCTGTGGCTGTAGCCGCGTCGGAAGGCGGGACCGCGCGCGGCCAGGAACGGGTGCATGCTGGGCAGGGCGTTGTCATAGCCGTGGTCCCCCACTGCAGCGGGGCAGAGCACACAGTTACTGTCACAGCCTCTGCTGCAGAGCCACTGCTCCCCTCTCCATCTCCCCCAACCCCAAATCACGTGTTCTAACCAAAGGTTAATGCACAACATAAAAGCAGCTGTTGGATCAACCACAGAAGGAAGCCAGAGTTCCTTCCCTCTTCCCCAAACCCCACAAGTCTTCTCCCATACTGGCCTTCCCACATGGTTCTCCCTCCCATTAATCTCTTTTCCTTTCAGTGCTTAACATTCCAGTGTTCCCCTTCCCATACTTCATGCCAAAGTTGAAAAGGAGGTTGCAATTCCACAATGACTCAATAGCTAGAAGGCAAATTTTTACTTCTCAGATTCTGGAAAGTCATCTCTCCTTGCAGAGTGGACACTTTACTTACTTATTAAAAAATCAGGCACCTTTCCCTTGATAGTGTTCAGTTCAAGCATATTAAGTACCCTCAATTCGTGTTTATCAGATAAAGTACTTCAGGTGAAGGGACA